GCAAACAGGGCCAGTTTTAATATAATATAATATAATATTTATATTATATTATTATTATATTATATATTATATTATATTAAAAATTTTTAATAAAAAATTTATATATAATATGTCGGCCAAATATTAAAACTGGTCTTGCAAAACTCATTTAAAATTAATCCTTTTAAAATTTTCTCTTGTATTTTAAAAATATATTTTTTTCATTAATTTTTAAATGAAAAATTTTTTTAAATTTTGAGAAAAAAAATCTTAGAAAACTTACCAAAACCTTTTATAACAAGAACAATTTTTTTAGCGTAACCCAACTAAATATTTTTTAGATTTGTTTACAAAAATTTAATTTAAAACAAAACAGTGAAATATTTTTTTTTTCTTTAGGTTCAAATGATTTTGGCGAAATTTTGCATAACAAAATTTTCATTTGCCCTAAGGGCAAGATAAACTTTGCTTTTAAGCCAAGTCGCAAGTTCTCCTATTCGGCACGACATATATATATATATATATATATATTATATATATATATATATATATATATAATAATATATATATATTAATATATATTTTTTTAAATAAATAAAATTTAGGGGAAGGGGCACTGTCAAAAATTTTTTAATAAAATAAGAAAAAATTTGGAGGAGTTAAACAATTTAAAAAACCCTGGGGAAAAGAAAAGGTTTTGTCAGTTAAAAACGGTGGGGGATTAGTAGAGGGGGAATGGAGGATTGGGTAAGGGCGAGAATATTTAGGAACTTTTAAATTTGGGAAAAAAGGGGGCGGGAATTTATGCACAGGGCCCGGGGAATACCATCTTTTAGGGGTGAAGAAGAGCGAATGTAATGTGGGGGAGGAAAGTGGGCATTACGTAGAAAAGAAAGGGGGGAAAGAGCTGGAACTGATGGGGTCTGACGAAAAGTTTTAAAAGGGGGGGATATATTTTTGGGGGTTGATATTTTGTTTAATAAAAAGTTGAAAGAGGGGAAAAGGGACCTAGGGGTTTTGGGGGGAAGAAATTTTACCTTATATAAAGGGGAAAAGGGGGCAAAAAAGGGTTGTAAAAAATTTAGAGGAATAAGCTTACTGATAACCAGGAAAAATATACGGTAGGGTTTTATTTTAAAGAATTAGAGGGAAGACGAATGTAGGTTTTCAGATGAGCAAGGGGGGTTTCAGAGTGGTAGGGGGTGTGTAATCAAGTGTTTCATTGAAGCATTAGTAAAATTTTAGATAAAGGTAGGGAAGTTTTTATGCATTTATGGGTTTAAAAAAAAGGGATATGATAGAGTGGTAGAGGAGCAATGTGGCGATTTGCAAGTTTTTTGGAATAGGGGGTAAGTTTCTAAAAGCTGTAAAGACTTTTATGAGGATAGTGAGGCTCAGGTTAGGGGGTGTGAAGAGGGGAGAAACTTCCCGGGAAAAAAAGGTCTTTGACAGGGGGTGTGTAATGTCACCCTGGGGGTTTTTTTATATTTTTGATGGGGTTTTAAAAAAAGTAAATGCAGGGTTTCGGAGAGGGGGGGATTAAATTATGGGGAATCAATTAAATGGGAATTTACACGTTACTTTTTTCTGATGTACTGTGCTTAGGGAGATTCTAAAAAAAAAATTGCAAAGGTTAGTAGATAGTTTGAGAGTGTGTTAAAGGAAAAAGTTGAAAGTGAACATAGAAAAGGTAAGGTATGAGGGACAAATGTTTTAGATAAAAAAAATTTGGGATATAAAATTTGGGGGACGAGGGTAGGGAAGAAGTGAATTTTTTTCAGATATTGGATTTGACGTGTCGCGATGGATTTATGAAGGGGGGTTAATCTTTAAAATTGAGGGGGGAAAAAAAGGTGAGGTGGTTGGGGAAATTTTGGGGAGTAAAAAAACTTATCTAGGAGGCAAAAAAGGAAGATGAAAGTATAGTAGTACAACCCTTATATGGAGGAACTTGGTGGTAAATGCAGCAGCGGGAGAGGGTTGGAGGCAGTGGAAGTCCGTCTAAGGGCAATGTGTAGTGTAAATTTATCAAAAAATTTCGGGGGGGGGAAATTAAGAGGTGGAGTTAAAAAAAAGCATTAGTAAAGGGGCGAAAGGGGTTTTTTAGGTGGTTTGGTCATTTAAGAGAATGGATCAAAGTTAGAATGACAGGGAAAACATATAAATTAAAGGAAGGAAGGAGGGGTAGGGGTCCCCTCAAAAGGGTTTTGGAAAGGGGGGTAAAGGAGTTTTGTGGGCGGGGGCGGGTTTCCCAGAAAAGGTGCAGAGCTGTTGATGGATTTTAGGGAGACGAATGAAACTTGGGCCCCCTGACACTTTGAGTGTGAGCAGGGAAAATTTGTGGGGTTCGGAGAAACCCGGTTATTTTTCATATAGTGGACTTGAGTCCTGGAAAGGGGAAAGACAATGCCCTGCACTTTAAAGGAGGGGTTTGGGATTTGGAGTTGGGGGGATATGTTGTGTTCTTTATATGTGATGCTCCCAAACGGTTGTATTCGACACCCGGCAAAAGCATGATAATGTGGGGTGTGGGAAAGTGTTGAAAGATGATGAAAGTATTTTCTTTTTGGGGATTTTCTTTCTTTTTGGGGCACCCTGCCTGGGTGGGGCGGCCGATTGTTGAATATATTATATTTTAATATAATATATATTTATATTTTTAAAAATTATATATATAATATATATATATTTATATATAAATATATATATATATAATATATAAAATTTTTAAAATATTATAAAAATTTATATATATATATAAAATTTTTAATATAATATTTTCTGCCGAATATGTGAAACGGTTAAATTTTAGCAAAAACTCATTTAAAATTAAACCCTTTTTAAAATTTTTCTTATACTTTAAAGATATTTTTTTTTCATTAATTTTAATGTAAAAAATTTTAATTTTTGACCAAAAGAATCTAAAAACTTACTAACCTTATTTAACAAGAACTTTTTATTTTAGCCTAACACAACTAAAAAATTTTTTTAGTTTGTTTCAATAATTAATACTAAACAAACCATGAAATTTTTTTTTTTTCGTTGGTTCAAAGGGATTTTGGCAAAAATTATTGCATACACAATTTTCGTTGCCCTATATGGCAAGATGAGCGTTGCTATTTAAGCAAGATCGAAAGTTCTGCCTATTCGGCACGCATATATATATATATTTTTAAAATATAAATTAATTAATATATATAATATACATATATATTATATAATATATATATATAATATATAAATTTATATATATAATATAAATATTTTATTTTTAAAATATATATATATATATTATAAAAAATAAATATATAATATATATATATTATTTAATAAAATATATATAAAATAGAAAAAGAAGTTTTTAAACGTTACAACAAATTGACGAAATAAAATTTCAAAAAAATATAATTAACTTATTAAGTTATCTTTTTTTATTGAATAAAAGGAACTTATTTTAATGTTTATTAAATTATTACTTGCTTTTTTTAAGGAGCAGATCCACGTTTTTTATTAAAAGTTAAATCTTTTTCAAATTCTGTGTTAATTTAATTTTTTTTTGACGATTTTCCAACAACATCTGATTTTTTGTTGTTGCTTTTGTTGTTTTTATTGTTGTTTTTTTCCTTTCGTTTTGTTGTTGTTGCTATGTTTTTTTTTCTTTTTGTCGTTATTGTTATTGTTTTTGGGTGCTACTGTTTTTGTTTGTTTTCTCTTGCCCGTTATTCTATTGTTGTTGTTGCTACGTTTTTTTGTTTCTCTTTTTTTGTTGTTGCATTGTTTTTTGTTGCAAAATTTGTTGTTGTTTTCTTGTTTTATTGTATGTTTTTGGTGTACGTTGTTGTTGTTTTTTTGTGTTGTTGCTGTTGTTGTTTTTGCTACGTTGTTGTTTTTTCTCTTGTGTTTTGCATTGTGTTGGTGCTACTGTTTTTTGTTGTTTCTTTGTCGTTGTTGTGTTGTTGTTGTTGTAATGTTTTTTTTTGTTTTTTTATCGCACAGCCATTTTTGTTGCTATAAATCGTCCTTTTGACAACACGACTCGATTCCTTTATTTGTTTAACCCCTGTTGCATTTTTTGTACGTTAATGACGTTCCGTTGTCAATTACCAGAGCCCCGTTTTTTAAATATCCCACTATAATACCGATTTTAAAACAGTCTTAGGGAAGTTGCCCCACGAGAATACCCCGTTTAAAAGATTATGGGGAGTCGCCTACGGGGGTACCTAATGTACAGTAGTCATGGGCGTCTGGAAGTTTGTATTTCTTTTTGAGTGGTTGTCTACCGTTGCTTTACTGTCAAAGGGTTATCTTAAGTTAAAACTTTATTACCTCCCTAACCGTTGTGGAAGTGGGTGCCTTGGGAAGTGGCTGCCCTTGTAAAGTGGCCCGTTGTGGAAGGGGTGCCGTTGTGGGGAATGGCTGCCGTTGTGGAAATGGCTGCCCCTTTTGGAAGGCTTTCCGTTTGTGAAGTGGGTTCTGTTGTAGAAGTGGGTGCGTTTTTGGGAAATGGCTGCCGTTTAGAAGTGGCTTCTGTTTGTAGAAATGAGCCGTTGAAAGCGTTTTCGTTGTAGAACGCCTGGCTTGTATGTTTTCCGTTGATGTATGGGAGTCGTTGCTGTGGATGTATACTTGCAGAGGTTTTGAGATGAAAGTTTTTGAGGTTGTTGAAGTGAGTTTTAATGTAATTGTTGAATTGTTGTAGTAGCGTCGAGTTTTGAAGATGATTGTAGATGTGTTGTTGAGGTGGTTGTAGATTAGTGACTATTTGGGTGGTTGAGATGTATTTTTAAAGTGGAGTAGTTGTTAGGGTTTTAGATGTACATTTTTTCGAGTTGTTGAAGAGTGTTTTTAGAGTATTTTTGAAATTGTGTTTGTAGTTGACGTGTTGTGGGAGAAGAGAAGTTGTGACGTAGATGTTAGGTTGTAGAAGTAGAAAAGAGGTGATTGTAGATGGGTGTAGTAATATAGCGTAGTTGTATGGTTGTTGCATTGACATTAGGGACTGCGGTTGTTGTACTCGAATAACGTTGGGGTTGATGAAAATACTGTGGTTTTTGTAGTTGATCTTGTAGTCCCCCGGGTAGGCAATTCTAGAATTGGATAATATTAGAAATATGTTAATTTTTTATAATTTATTTCTCGTAACAATAAAGGAAAAGCCGGTAATAAGTGTTGTTATGGTTGTTCAGACATCCAGGAACCATTAGCGTGTGACCCTCCGCACTACCATCTAGCGGGCTGAGGCTAAACTCCAGTTCCTGGGGGTCTGATTTGCTTTAATTTCTACTCGTGGTAATGTTAACTTTACCTGGTGTGGGTTGATGTTTGGAGAAACACTTCACATACCACGGGCGGGGTTAGAACTCGCGATCAGAATCATAAAACTTAAGACCAATGCGCTAGCCACTGGGCCAGCTGGCTACAAGATTAATTCTACTAGGTATATGCTGGCGGGAGATTCGTCTGTAAAAAACTTGCATTTGTGGTCACAGTGGTGCCTATGCTAACCTTCCTGTGGTGTATAAAAATATTTAGTTGGACGAATCTTGTTTTAGCCAGCTGGCCCAGTGGCTAGCGCGTCGGTCTGGAGTTTTATGACTCTGATCGCGGGTTCTAACCCCGCCCGTGGTATGGTTTGGTTGCAATCGTGTCATTACGATTTCGTGAGTCACTTCGCCTCCGCTCTTCTCCTGACCAGGTAAGGTGATCTACCAGGAGTATTTCTGTTTATTGTTCCTGATTTTCCTGGTTACCAGTAATGACATTGAAGTTGAACAAAATGGAAGTCTGTGAACCATTAACTAATATTTTTAATTTATCTCTTCAAACAGGTGCAGTGTCTGATATGTGGAAGATGGCTAATGTAATTCCTATTTTTAAAACAGGGGACAAGTCGTTACCGTCAAATTACCGCCCAATAAGCCTGACCTCAATTGTAGGCAAATTACTAGAGTCAATTATAGCTGAGATTATAAGAAGCCATCTCGATAAGCATAGCTTGATTAATGATACTCAGCATGGATTCACAAGAGGCCGGTCTTGTCTAACTAATTATTAACTTTCTTCAGTAAAGCTTTGAGGCTGTTGACCACGATAAAGAATTTGATATTATTTAGATTTTAGTAAGGCATTTGATAGAGTTCCCGCACCTAAGACTGTGAAAAAGTAGCAGCTCATGGCATTGGGGGAAGGGTGCTCTCGTGGATCGAATCATGGCTCACAGACAGGAAGCAAAGAGTGGGCCATAAATGGGGTTAAATCCGAGTGGGGATCATAACAAGTGGCGTTCCACAGGGATCAGTCTTGGGCCCGTTGTTGTTTATAATATATATCAATGATCTTGATGAAGGAATTACTAGTGATATGAGCAAATTCGCCGATGACACGAAGATAGGTAGGATAATTGATTCAAACGTAGATGTTAGGGAACTTCAGGGGATTTAGACAAACTCTACTCTTGGTCAGAAAAGTGCAGATGCAGTTCAATGTAGATAAATGCAAGGTTCTGAACCCTCGGGAGTGTCCAAAACCCCTAGCACTTATAAGTTAAATAATGTAGAATTTAACCATACAGATTGCGAAAAGGACTTGGGGGTTATGGTAAGCAGCAACCTTAAACCAAGACAGAAATGCCTAAGCGTACTAATAAGGCAAATAGATTACTGGGAATTATATCAAGAAGTGTAAGCAAACAGAAGTCCAGAGGTCATACTGCAGCTTTATACATCATTAGAAAAGCCTCCCTAGATTATGCAGCTCAATTCGGTCTCCATATTACAGAATGGACATAAATTCGTTAGAAAAACATTCAGCGTAGGATGACTAAATTAATACATAGCATTAGAAATCTTCCTTATAAAGAAAGATTGAAGACTCTTAAGTTACATTCACTTGTTAGACGAAGAATAAGGGAGACCTGAATCGAAGTGTATAAGTGGAAGATAGGTATAAAAAAGGGGGATTTTAACAAGGTCTTGAGGATATCTCTCCAAGAGGAACCCGCAGTAATGGTTTTAAAAATAGATAAGTTTAGATTTAGAAAGGACATAGGAAAGTATTGGTTTGGAAATAGGGTAGTAGATGAGTGGAACAGTCTACCTAGTTGGGTTGTTGAGGCTAGGACTTTGGGTAGTTTCAAATTTAGGTTGGATAAACACATGAGTGGGAGGGGTTGGATTTGAGTGGGACTTGCACATCAGAGCTTATTTCTTGGGTAGCATTGAAAATTGGGTAGGTCAAATGTTTGTTAGTGGGATGAATTGTAAAGGACCTGCCTAGTATGGGCCAACAGGCCTGCCTGAGTGTTCCTCCTTTCTTATGTTCTTATGTTCTTTGTCTTTCTTCAATGTTATACTTATCTACCTCTTATGTAACCAGTGTTATTTTCTTTATTGTCAGCTTTGCTGCTGGCCTGGTCAACCAGGGTAGACGCTTGTAAATTGGAGCTAGATCCCTGTCTACTGGACATAGTCGCACATTACGACTACTCTTCACCTTTCAAATCGGAATTGTGATGCTACTACCAAATGGTGACAGGATTTTTCCAGAACATCGGACGAACACCACCATCCAGGATAAACTACACCATCTCTTCAACACATGAAGACCATCCTGGGTATTATACAGTCCCGCCCTAACATCATACTGACATTCGCTGCCTGACCACGGTAGAGTGCGGTTGTGCTCTGCACCCCTCTGCTGTTTTCAGGCGAGCTACCTTGTACCAACATGGCGCTGAGTGTGAGGAGGCGCGTAAATACCATTGGTATTGAGCTGCTTCGTGGGGCGATTTCACCCTCTTCAGCGCAGGTATTACTCCCAACAATCATTAGGGAGACCTATGGAATCCAGGCAGAGGGATGTGTCCCAAAAATGGGAAGAAACTTGCCTGTTTAGGTAAGGGGGAAAATTAAATGATAAAACCCATTAAGGGGTTTTGACGGGCCATTTACGTGGGTTGTTTCGAAATGCCCCTTTGGGAACGGGCGTGGGGAGGTTGGGAGTACATCTGGCCCCAAAAAGGAATAAAGGATTTTTGGGCCCGGAGGAAAACCCCCGGGGCTCAGACCCCCAATAGTCTTCCGGGGAGGTTCGGAGAAGAGGGAACCCAAAGGGTGGGAAAAATTTTTTTACGTGCCCATCGCAAAAAGAGGGGGGTAAAAATGGTGGAAGACCCTGTGTGGTTGAGAGCCCGGAAAAGAAGGGGGGGGGGGGAAAGGGTTTGGAAAAAAAAAAAGGGCTTTTAGGTGTTGCGAAAAAAGGAATTTGGGCCCAAAAAAAAAGTAAGGTGAAGGGGAAGGTTCAGGTTTAGAAAAAATTAGGGTGGGAATGGGCCGAAAGGGAACCATTTAGAGGAAGGGTGCCGGAGGTGAAAAAAAAAGGGGTTTCGGGCCAACTTGCATTGTACGTCTGAAAGGGGGGGTGGGGTTAGGACAGGGGGGGAAACCTTTGTCTAAAAGTGAGGGGGGGGAAAAGGGGGGGGAAAGAGTGTTGCCCCCGGGCGTTGGGGGAAAGGGGTTGGGGAATGGGGCAGGGGGGGGGGTTTTTGTAAGTTGTTCCCCGGGGCGGGAGGGGGGTTTAAAAAGGAAAAAGGGGGGGGGAAAATTTTAAAAGATTGGGTTCTTAATTTGGCCCTGGGTAAAAAGTGGGGGGGGGTTTGAATGCTTTAAATTAGGGGGTGATTTTTGGAACAAACGGGGAAGTGTCGGGTGGAAATTTTTGGGTAGCTTCCCATTGCGTTGAAAGGGGGGGGGAAGGTAGGGGCACCCTTTTTTGTAAGAAGGGGGGGGGGAGGGGGGAAAGTGTTGGGTATTTTATCAGGGGTTTTTGAATTTTCCCCCTGTTAAAAAAGGGGAGTTAGGGAAAATTTTTTTCCAGGGGTTTTAAATGGGTCCTTTTTGGGGGGGAATCGTTTGGACACGGGGAAAAAGGGGGCCAGTGGGGGCGAAAAAACGAGTCTAAAGACTTTTTTAAAACTTACCCCTGGTTTTATAGGTGCCCCAAAGGGTTTTTTACAATTTTTCAAAAAAGTAGCTTATTTGGATCATCGGGCGGGTAGTAGCAGAGTGGGTGGGATTTACAAAAGCAGGTTATTAGGGGTTATTGGAAGTTAAATAAAAAGTGTGTTGGGCGATGGGGGGGGTTTAGAGGGTTTTGAAAACGCTGGGGAAAAGGGTTCGTGCAGGGTTAAAGGGGGGTAGGGATGTGGTGATGTTTTGGGATTTTGTGGCAAAAAACGGTTTAAGCAATATACGAAAAGGAAGGGGAAAAAACGTATCATTCTTTAAAATAGGGGCTTGCCAACTATTTGGGGATATTTACGGGGTTGTTATGCGGGGGGGGCGGTGGGGGGCATTACCCAAATGGATGAATTTGGCAATTAAGGGAGGCTGCGGAGGTACAGGATGGGGTTTCCCAAAAGCGGTGGGGTACGGCGGGGGTGAAGCGGGTTAGGGGGCATAGACTTCTCGTGCGTATTGCTAGGCGAACAAAGACAGAGGCAATGACTATACATGGTTGGGGGTTTCATGAGTCGATGGGGGGGGTACAGGGAGGGCAGGTCATACAAGTTAGGGAAAGGAATGGGGGCGTTTGTGAAAGTGGTATGGAATTTCGGGAAACGGAAGGGGTAGGGGAGGGGGTTTTTAGAACAGGTGTGTGGGAGTGTGGTATGTCGTTGCGTAACGGGAAAGGGAAGCATGGGTGGGGAAAAAACTGGGGGGGAAATATGGAGGGCTTTAAGTGGAAGGGAAAGGGAAAAGCCCCGGGAAATTGATGGATCCGCAGGTTTTATCGCAGCTTTGGGAAAAATGAGGCTTTTTTTGGTTAGGTTATTAAATTGCTAAAGGAGAGAGGTGAGCGGGGAGAAGCAGGCAACGGCGTCTTTGTATTGGTCCCCGAAGGGTAAGGGGCAGCATCGCTTCGGGTTTACGGGCGATTGTTTTATGCGCAGTTTAAAAATTGTTTGCTAGATTTTGGGAAATCGGGTAAGTGTGTGGGGGGCGGGTAGTATCAAAAACTCTTTTGGTTTGCAGGAGGTTAGGGGGGGGCATGGGTTACTTAGGGTTTCTGGAGAAAAAGGGGAGGGGGG